GGTCTGAAGCACCCTCAGAAATCATTGTAGATGACTGAAATTTTTATTTAGGTTTAACTTTAAGCTCGAATCAGAGAGAATCCAGAGAAAGAAGGTGTTTTGTCCCAATGGTGGCCAAGAGGTCAGCCAATTGGTGGCCTGAGTCTGGTCTATTAGCATCCTAAAGTTTGGTCTGCTGTGAGCTTCAGACAAATAATTTTAAACATCAGGTGGCTCTGGGTGTCAGAAAACAACTTGCGGTGATGGTGGGAACAGCTGCTGTAAAGTTTAGTGCTCGTAATCCATTCAAAGGAGCTCAGATCTGCAAATATCGAAATAAATGACTGCAAAGCCTTTCCTTTTAGTTGAAACAAATCGGGTGAAGCGTTTAACTGGGTCACACCTGAGGACAGAGGTGGAGCTGGGTTTGAAGTGATGCTACAGGCCGGCTTTAATCGTTTCTTCAAGCTGACGGAGAGAAAAACCAGACTTGTGGAAGAGATCCTGAGGGTATACTTCCTGAAACGTGACACGTGCCAAGTGGGAAATACTTGATGATTAAGTGCTGCAGCATACCACCAACACGACAGACATGTGTAAAGTAATAATGCTGCTCATCAACTGTTAGACACATTATTAAATACTGCTGAGAGTAACTTTAATAACTAAAACCGGATTTATTTTCTGTGAGGAACCTTACAGCTGTAGAGGGTTTTAGCTTCGGTACATTTAAGGGAATGTGTTGAGAGGTCTGAGCAGACTCACCGTTGAAAGGATCGTGTGAGACTCAGAGTAAAATCCACACAAAAAGTAGATTTTGTTATTCTAGAATTGATTTTTTCAACTTATTTTATGGCAAGTGAAGATCTAAAAGGCTGGTTTTGTTCAAAACCCAAACTTTAGATTGCCACATTTACATGTAAAAATGTAATAATGCACTTTGTACCAAATACATAGAAATGTAATGTAGGATTTACCATGATATGGTTAAGATCCGAAGTGTTGATGGAGAATAGTCTCAAATGGCAGGTAAATGAAAGGAAACCTGTTTTAAAAGCTTTGTAAATACCATAGATCAGATAGGTAGATGCAGTTATTTATAAAAAAGCACATTTGTTCTGGATCAGTGATTTTCAGCTCACTAATGTGGTCACAGTAATGCTCTGCTGGCAGGTCTAGTAGAATATGTTGATTCTAGACTGCGCCATTAAAAAAAGAAGAGGAAAAATACTCATAATGAATTATATGACGTTATTAACAATATATTTTGTAATTTTACTCAGCTAGATCAAAAAAGAGCCTCTGTTTATTCTTTATGTTGATTTTTAGAGCTGGATTTCTGAAGTTTGTATTGAGGTTGAGGTTTGTTTCTGGGTTTCACGCTGGTGAGATTAATTTTACTATCCAGTTATCCAAAATAACACAGATATGGCTTATGATTGGTAATAGTATGCATTTCAAAAACTTGATTACTTGGATAGTTGGTAACTTTTATGAAAATGATAAATAAGGAATCAGATTTAGTTCACCTGCAATGATTCAATATAAAATCTTCTCATGAGTGTCTGTTTGAAGAAGTTCTACACTAAAACCTTGTTAGCAGCTCGTATGAATAATACAGTGACCAAATTTATATGTGGAACTATAATGTTGTATTTTCGTCTTTTGGCCAGTCTTGGTGAAATTATTCCCAGTGTGTGTGTGGGGGGGGGGGTCTTTATGTCTTGCTGCTAACTGGCTAATGGCTAATTTGGTGCTCGACAGAAAGTCAGACTTTTTCTTACTAAAAGCAGCTCCCTGCTACTGCTGCTGCATTAAAAAATGGCAATTTTGCTAAAAGTGAAGTAAGATAATAAACTGGAAACTTTCTAAGCTAATTGCTGCTTCGTTGCCCATGAAGTGATTGTCTCATGACATCACTTCCTCCTTCTCACACAGTCATGCCTCCCTCTGAGGGAAAACAATCAATGAATAACTGTGATGAACTGGAAATAATGGTTGTTTTTCTTTATGGAAGTTCCTGCAATGAAATTTACACTGTATATACCTGAAAAAAATACAGACTTATTTTATTACAGTAGAACTTTACTTGCTTCAGTCATTTTTTACATTAGTATTATTTGTTGTGTCAGCTAAAGAGTCGAGCACTTTCCCCCCTACTGGTTAACCCAGAAATCTAGAATGCTTGTTAGCACGCTGTATATCTATTTTTACTGTCAAATCAATTTATGACAGTCAAAATAACAAAATAACGTGATGAATGTCATATATAAATTCATCTGGGGTCAGAGTATAACATGTGAAGCCACTGGGTGGCATTGTTCATGCTCTTCTGCATAGTGACAATAAACATTTTGTTTTTGTGACAGGCTTCAAAGCGGTACTATAGTTGTACCTAATGCTATTTTTTTTAACAAACACAGGATGAGTTCCATAAATGAAGTCAAAGTGGAGGGCTTTTTTTTCCACCCAAAAAGGGGTGTAGCCTTTTGCAAGAGGGTTAAAGGCCGTACCACAATGGAGACCTAGACTGTGTCTCAATTCATGGGCTGGGTCCTCATGAGTGCGCATTTGTCGGCCGCATACGTCACTCCCCCCGCGCCGAGTACTGTCCCAATTCGAAGGCTCCTCAAGCGGCCGAGGAATACGGCCGACAAACTCTTGAAATCCAAGGATGCATCTGTGTATCCTTACCGGCCGAGGATATCCCAGGATTCAATGCGCGGGCAGCAAAACAAACAGAGAAATAAGGACGGTGGAGTTTGTTTCAGTTATCATTGCATCAAAATGAGGAATGTTGTCAAGTTCGTTAGTATTGCTTAAAAATAAATAGTTTATATTTTAGCACATCAGTATCAAATTATCAGTAGCAGGACTTGGATGCTGTGCAAACGACTATATGATAAACTGAAGCCGTATTGTAATTAACGAATGCATTGACAGATTGAGTTGTCACGTAGCTAATTTGGATGAAATCATATTAATCTAACAGTGATCCAGGTCATCACAGACTACTTTATAAACACAGACACATGGCTGTACACAGCAGGTGTGAGCAAAATAAGGTTGAAATGAACATAAAATGGACACTTGTAAGATTATTCCTTTTTATCTCGTAATATTATGACTTCATTGTCATGATAATAAAAAAAAATCTTCTTGTGTGGCCCTAATACTCCTTTGTAGATACTGGAGTTAAACCTGAATTATTAATGTTTATTTACTTACGTTTAAAGTTTTAACTGTGAAGTTACTCTTCCAGTAAAAAGACGTGTAAATACACGTCCCGACGCATTTTAAGTCCGACATGAAACTGATCACTATGTAACGGGGGAGCACGTGGTCACGCAAACTCACATGAAGCCGACATCAGTCGAAGGGTAGACCGTCTTATTTCACAGCAGTTTTGAGCATCCTACCCGGCCCAGGGAGGACGTGGCCCACGTGGCCCAGCTAGGCCGGGTCCTCATGAGGACGCACCCATGAATTGAAACACATCCCTAGCCTGGCCATTATCTTCCTACGCGATTCCGCTTGATTTTAATCTCCCTTCACTGCTCTGTCTGAGCTTTCTCCCACTGACATGGATTTCTCTGGTAGAATTTCAACCTGGTCAATCAGTAAACAGAAGGAGGAGTTGTGATTTTCTGCGACATTTTAGCCTGTAGAAGCAATGGCAGCGGAGGAAGTGAATGAAGCCATTCTGTTCATGTTGACAAGGCTTCCAAATTAAATGAAATTTGTCTCACTGCCACATTCATTAGTCATCTCGTTTGGCTAGGTACTTCTCTCTTCTCAGTAGGCAATGGTTATTTCCAGTACACATTTCTGGTTAGCTTCTTAGCTTAGCTTCCTTCACTGTCAAGTTGGCGCACTGCATACATCACTGCCAAATGTTAGCGATTGGGTAAAATCAGATCCATTTGTTTTAAACTTCTGAAGAAATTTAAAGTTATCAGAGGTTAGTACTGATGTTAGAAGCACAACACTATATTCTTAGGTTTTCCTTTTTATAATGTTGACAATGTTTAATCTATTGTGTTTTGATTGATATAGATTAGTTACATGTCCAAAAATTAACAACACATAATTAAAACGTTATGATAACAGTAGATGAGGTTTTTGTCTGAATGCCTGTGATTCAGCCGTAGGTCAGTAGGGGGCGAACGCAGGCATTGAAGAACCATGTATAAATTGATGAACTTCCTGGTTTTTTGCCAGTTTGGTTTCCGGTTAGCTCAAGTGACAATAAAACTCACTCAGTTCCAGAATTCTGGTGTTGTATGGTTTGATTCCTTCTACAAATCATTTTATTTAACAATGGTGGTTTTAATTTCGACTTCAGGTTAGAATACGTATTTTTCTTACGCTTCAACAAAGTCCCCACCTTCAGCAAGCAGTCGTTTCTCAAAAGCCAGGAGCTCAGACCCTCTGAACGAAACAAAGCGTAGAACAAGGGGATGCTTTTTACACGACCCCTACAGACCTCTTGACTTGAAAAAA